TCTCCCTTGTTCCCTCGCACGGCTCCTGGCCAGCGGCGAGGCCGAGGGGGCTGAGGAGGGCCCGGCCGCGACTCCACCTCTCCTGCAAGGCGCGAATCGCAACATGGGCCAGGCAACCGCGGAGCCAGAGTGAGTTTTGGCCCCCGCACCCCTGGCCGACAGAGCAGCAGGAGCTGAGAGGAGGTTGGCGTGTTCCTCTTGGAGTCCAAGGGCCGCGGCCGTCCCCGGCTGCAGCTGAGCGCGGCCGGCCCCTCTCCCCGCCGCCGCCCCTCCGCGGAGCGCGCTCCCGCCCGCCCCGCCGGTCTGTTTCCAGGGCAGAACCTGTGAATAAAGCGAGAAGCGTTGCTTATTGTGCTCGTATTAATCCCCCCCGCTGCTTGGAGCTAATTAAATTCCTCCCCGGGAGCCGGGGATTCTCGCGGCTCCGCCAGTGCCGCAGCCGGGGCGCGGGGCAGCCCCGCATCGGCCGCCGCCGCGCCATGCACACAGCCCGGGGGTCGTTTCACCGGTTTATTTCACATTAAAGTTTAGATACAATCGAAATCCTCGTACGCACCTTTTAATAAAAGTAGTAATCTCTTCGAGTACTGCAAAATTATAGCATTTACATCTTTAAAAGACGGTAAACAAATAATACTAGCGAATCAATAATACCAGCATCCAGTGCACATGGTCGGTTGGTTTTAGGCGGCCGTATAAAATGCGATCTGGTTTATAGAATATAATACAGATAAATGCTATAAATAAGTGGATATCAGAGTCGGCGACAAACTTCCTAGAGACGGGTCCGCTCGGGCTGCCGGCACCGCCCGCAGGGTTTGCGGGACCCGCGCGGGGGGGCTGCGGGGCGGAGGAGTGCGGGGGGGTGGCCCACCCGATCCGGTCCCAGCACTGCAGCCCCGGGACCGCACCGGGCCTCCTCCCCCCCACCTACCTGCATTGAGAAACCTTATTTCTGGTTAAGAAAAATAAAAGTCCCATTTAAACTTTATTGAATTAAAGCAAAAATTAATTTTCGATATTCACACATATATTACAGAGTAATAGTAAAAGTTCAATATACTTCCTGGCGTTTGGTTGGGCCACATTGTACAAGAGCAAAACAAGCATCAAAACATTTAGCAGCCTTAAATTTCACAATCACTCAGAATTACATAGAAATATTGAAATACTCTAGTCAGCCTTGGCTGTGAATAGTTCTTCATGTAGAAATTTTTCCTTTTGCCAGCCAGTACACAGCAAGAATTGCATTTTCCCTTCCATCATGGCATCCATGTATTCAAAAAATACTTTGCTTTTTTTTTTTAAAAGTTAAACTCAGAGAAAGAGTCAAGATTAACATGTTTTAAAAACAAAACTACAAAATATGCTGTAGAGAACAATGAAAATATCTAAAGTCTACTTGTGTGAGGCAGAAGCCATGGGGGAACAATGGCAGATTACACCAGTGACACAGAGATGGGAACTAATTTTGTGGGAGGAGAGAGAAGAATATAAATGGGGTTTTGATCAATTATAGTGTCTCCCGCCTGTTGGCTGCAACACAACAAAAATAAGTAGTAATTCTTCAAAGCAGATGTACACAAACCTAAGCAGGATTTAGCTTCTTTAATATCTGAATGTAAAAAGTCTGTTGTCCGTGACTCTTTAAGCCCAGCTACGACTTGGGAATTTTTGTAAGAGATCTCTCCCTTTTCTTGGATGAGAAGTGATTTAAAGCGGGAACACAAGAAATCCAGAGAAGGTTGAATACTTCCAGCCTCCCATCAAGTTTCCTCTCTCCAGTTTTAGATAAGCTCTGTCTCCTTTCTCCATCTGAATCAGGACTCCATTGCTAGCAGCTTCTCGGGTCACATCTTGGTCCCCTGCAAAGGCAGAAATCACTGGCCACCCATTTAGCATCAAACTCACCTAAAGAGCAAGATAAAACAAAGCCCTCTGTCAATTAAAGTCAGAAAACGACACCGCCGGGGCTCGCCTAGCAGGAGAGATGCTTAGTTAAGAAAAGGCCTCTTTTGACAGCTGAAACTCCAGTCCCATAAAAAAGAAATACCAATCTGAACCCAGCTAAGGTATGCACTCTAAAGGAAGAAGTCTTTCACCGCTGTTTTAGACCGACAACCACATCAAAACACCCGGTGCATATAAAGCAGGACATTGATCCTATTTTGGAGAATTTCAATAGGGTGCCTGTGTTTTCAGGCTATGAAAAGAGGTCTGCTCCTACTTATTGAAAGATGGCTTTATGCGAAACCTCAGAGACAGCGAGGAGCAGAGCCACAGCCGCCGGAGTCAGCGCCTTTGAAGTGTATTCAAGAGGTAGTTTTCCTTTGTTAGGCAGCAAAGACAATATGCTACAACACAGTCAATAAGCTCTGCTCAGCTCGCATTAATGATCCCGGGACTGCATACCCCACATTAATAATACACTACCTGCCGAATTTAGAGGTGTGAAGCCACTTACACCAGAACAGTGCTATATAGCTGCACATTCACCTTTGCAATGTGCATTGCTACGCAGTTGTTCCTGTCTGGGTTATGCTACCTGGTTTCAGGCCAGTAATTTATTAACCCTACCTAGAGGTGTGTATGCATCGAACCACATACAAAAGGCACGTATAGGGTAGCTGCATACACATGCACAGATTCATTATTGCATCCATGCCACAGGCACCTCTGTGAACCCCAAATCCCTATGAAACCTTCTGCCACCAGAGAGGGAGTGTGGAGCCCAATGGGGGCCGCGGTTCCCACAGGCTCTGTTCAGGGATGCTCCTGCCGGCGCTCCGCGGCACAGGGCAGCCCGCGGGCCTGTGCAGGCTGGGAGGGGGCAGCAGGCAGCCGTCGGGTGATCACCTCCCGTCCTGGGACAGCTCATGCGGGCAAGGACCGCGTGGAGGCCTGGTGGGGCTCCGCGGCCCTTTGGGCACCATCCCCTCGGACGGTGGGGACGCCGCACGTCTGCGCTTCCGCGGCGGTCCCCGCCCCGTCGCCCGCACGGCCCCGGCCCCGCCGGGCCGCGGCCCCGTCCGCTCCCTCCCGCGGTGCCCGCGGAGCCAGGCGACGGCGCTCGGGGCTGACCTGGATGGTTTGCCTGTTGTACACTTTCACCACGTGAAAATTGAAACTGTAAATCCCTTTCCTGGGCGCGATGAAAGTGCTCCGTTCTGAGTCGAAGTTGCTGCCGATATTCACTAGTACCTGGAAGGGAAGGGCACCATCAGCACCAACGAGGGGCCACCGCCGTCCAGTCCCGCTGCCCCGCGGCCGCCCCTGACGCCCCCCCTCCCGCAGGCAGGGCCCCGCGGGGCGGCGCGTCCCCGGCCCGGCCCCGCCGCCTTCCCCGGCAACTTCTCCCGCGGTGCGGCGCCCGGAGCCCCCCGCGTCCTCCCCACCTGGTCGAAGTAGATGATCATGGTGCGGTTGCTCATCTCGGAGGGCTCGTGGTTGGTGCTGCGGATGGCCGAGAAGGCGACCTTGGCGCTGCCGGAGCGCACGGAGATGCCGAGAGCCGTGCCGGTGGGATCGGAGGTGGGGTTGGAGTCGCACACCACGAGGCACTTGCCCTCCAGCACGATGGGCTCCGTCTCGTTCTGCCCGCACGCCACCCACGCCGCGCCCAGCAGCAGCCCCAGTCTCAGCCCCAGCCCCGGGCCCCGCATGGCGCCGCGCTCCCTTCGCTCCGCGCCGGGCGGCACGTCCAGGCTCCGCTCCGCTCACTCCCTTTGCCCCGCCGCGCTCAGAGCGGGGCCGGGCGCGCCCCGCCGGCTGGGAAGCGGCCGCGAGCAGGCACGGGAGCGCCGGCACACATAGCGCGGCGCGGAAGCGCTGCGGGTGCGGGAGCGGGCGGAGCGGAGCCGCCCGCCGCGCCGCGCGGGGCTCAGGGAGGCGGCGGGAGGCGGCGGCGCTGCCGGGGCTGCCGGCGAGCACAAAGACGGCGCGGGGCGCGGCCCCGCCTCCCCACCGGCCCCGCGCTCGCGTCAGCGCCCCGCGCCCGCCCCCGCCGCGCCCGCCGCCGCCAATGGCCGTGCGGTCCGCCCGACACCGCCCGGCGCCGCCGCTTTTGTGGGGCGGCGCGGCCGCGGGCGCGGGAGCAGGTGCCCGGCAGCCGCCCGCACCGCACTGCACCGCACCGCGCAGCCCTCACCGCGCCTCGCAGGTAGGAGCGCCGGGGACCGGCGGGGCGGGGGTCGCGGGGCTCGGGAACTCCCGTGGAGCAGCTCGGTGTGGACCGCGGTGTCAGGTAAAGGTTTCCGCTGTGCTCCCGGGCGAGGCGGGCTGGAAGGGAGCGCGCTGCTGCGCGGGGCAGAGGCCTGCCGCCGTCCTCCAGCAGCCACAGCATCACCCGAGGTGAGCCCGCGCCCGCCCCGCCGGAGAGCGCACCGAGGGATGGGACGCCACGGGTCCTCCTTCTCGGGGTGCCCAGGCTCCGCTGTCTCCTTCAGCCGTCTCGTTCGCATCCCGGGGAGGAACAGATCGCAAGGCTTCCCGAGAAAAGACTCTTAACAGCGTCCAGAGTCTTTCCTGGCTGGCAGAGCACCCCGCTGTTAGGGAAAGTCACTGCGTGCCCTGCCCATGGATGGGTCTAGCCCGGAGCGCGGTTTTAGGGCTGTCGTTGTCTCCTAAAGTGCAAAGACTGTTTTATCTCGGTGGACTTCTGACCAGTGTTCGTTCTGGATGTGGTGTCCAAAAAAAATCATCACCCGGGATTGTAAATGAAGAAATTTACCGATGAACCATTAGAAACAAACGACTGGAACAAAGTAATTTTCTAACTGGCTGATATGTTTCTAAAGTTAAAACTTATATTCAGAGATAAAAAGTACACGGAGTTTTTAGCATCCTCTCTGGGAAACTGAATATCATCCAAAACGGGGCTTCTGTGCAAATCATTATGAATTTTGGTAACGGCTTTAGTTTATTTTACTGTGCTGTTCCACTGTGTGGTTCATAAGTTTTTACCTCGGAAATAGATCTCTCTCTCTGAAAACTGTTTTAAATAAAACTTTCTTCATATCACTGCCCTGCTAAGTTAAATGTGCGTCTGTAAAGTTGCTCGGAGTGTCTGCTAAGTATCCGAGTTTGCCCGTGGGTTGGTACTGGCTGGCTCTGAGGGGACGGGATGTAGCGGTAACCAATGGCATCAGGAGCCTCCTCAGGGAGGATCAAAGTACCACACACTTACTTTGGACATTCAGCAGTGAAGCGCTCTGGAAACCAAATTAGTGGCAAAGTGATTATAGGGGAAGGACGGTGGTCAGAAAGGAGTTGGGGAGATAATAAAATAGAAACAAAAACTCTCCTGAGAAATAGAAAATGAGATAAAAGTGAGTGGGTGGAGCCACTTCATGTTTTACTTCAAGACATAAGTGTAAGATTTGCAATGTATTAGTACTGTTGACGATCTTAACTAACTTCAAAGTTAGAATCAGAGACTTTAAAATAATATTTCTAAGGAGCTAAAGCAAATAAAAATCAGCAGAAATGAGCCTTTTGCATCCTTGTCAGAACTGATGAAATGACAAGGGGGAATGGAAACTGAAGGAGCGAAACTCTACCCTTTTAATTTTTTTTGAGGGCTTGACTCAAAAAGCCCCATATATGTTTTTTCAACATACATTGCCCTTTCTTATTAAAAAAATACTCATATATTTCTCTTGAAAGACACTTCTTATGCATGACAGAAGTCAATTCTCTTGTGCTGTAGAGCTCTTTATTTTTAGCTTGTGGATTTGAATCCAGGAGAGTCTCCCCTCCTGAGCTGGAAGTTGCTTGCTATTTAGTGGTGACCCCCCTGGCAGGAGGCTGGGTGGGCCTTCCACCCCCAACCACCTTGACCACTTTGAGGGCTGGATGGACGGAATTACCAGAAAGAACGAGAACAGGGGGGCCTGGAAAAATGGACAAATCACTTTACCAGGAGCCGTATCCCTCACACAGGAGGTGGGCAGGCAGGCAAAGGGGATATGTAAAGATTCCTTTGCCAGACACCCTCATTGCCGCCGGCTATCAGTGTTGCACACTTGACTAGTACTGTAGCACCCAGCTTCTGCAGTTCTGGCTGGAATAAAGTAACACCTGCCATGCAAATGAGACATGACTTCATTAATTGTCACATGCAGCACTAGGCAGCTGTGTTGATTCTCTCTGTATTGACAACAGTCTCTGACTCGTACTGGGAACAAAGAAGAGAGGCTCAGCAGGAGGATGTAGAGACTGATATATAAGAACATTAGTGATGTGTGGCAGAGAGCTCCCAAGCTGGGAGTGGAGATCTGTGACATCAGATGTTTACACAGGGCCAGGAATTATGTTGCCCATCTAATTACAAACTGCCTTGTTAATCAGTCTCATTGAGATAAAGAAGGGCAATTGTCATTCAGATACAATGGAAATGGTGTCAAGGTATTAACAAACTAATGGATGTTGTAGATGTTAGACTGAAACTAAGGTATTTGTCATGCAGAGCTGTTTGATGTTTGCTTTTAAGAAAAAACTTCTATGAATATGGAGAAAATATGTGAGTTGTGCATTGTGTGGTAACTAGCTATGACCTCAGTGTTGGCAGACTGACCACAGACTATTGGTTTGTAGAACTCCCCTAATGTTTCATCCAAAGAAAACAAACAAACAAGCAAACAAACAACTTGGAAAGAATCTGAAGGGAAGAACATAATTGTATGATCCTCATTAAGTTTCTGAAGAAACGCTTCAGGACTGTTTACTGTCCTGCTCAGATCACAAGAGGGTTGCTCATTTTGTTACAGAAAAAAAATTGTGGAGAGGCAGAAGTAAGTTCAAAGCTCAGAGGTACTGAGCTGTTATCTGTAGAAACCAAAATATAGTTTAGCCACAAAAGAGTTTAAATAAGGAGCAGCAGCAGCATTACCTGCGCTCCATTACCCTATCAGTGAGCCTTAATCCTGTTTTAGGAAAATCATCCTTAGAAACTCAATCTCACTAGACATTTAACTTCAGCTTCACTTATGAAGAAAGCCTCTAAGGGGGAAGGCATAAGCTTCTCCAAAAACAAGTACAGAGAAATCTACTGGAAACCTTTATTTTTCCTTCGAGAGAATAATTTAGTAAAAGTTTAGCTAGCTATGTACAAAATCACCTTTTCACTGGCTACTTGCCTTTTGATTTAATCCTACTTGAGTAAGAAATGCAAGGTCTGTCCCATAACTGGATAACTTATATGAAATTCAGTTTGTTCACAGTTCTGAAAATGCAGTTTGTTCACTGCTATATTAGTTTATGAAGTATAAACAGCAAAAAGTAATTCAGGGATTTATATATGCCAATATAAACTTAAGATACTTGTCTTCCCAAGCATCTGCTGGGATTCCATACAAAGTCCAAAGATGAGTGAAAATGAGATTTAGAGCAAAACAGCTCTTGCTGATCCACACTGTGGCCTATCTACAACCATCTGTTTTGCTGTTTAAGAGAGGTTTGCATGTATTTATGGTGATTTGTTTATGGTGTCACCTTCAGCTTCCACAGCAAGCAGTTAAGGTATCTCAAAGAGCAGACTGAGTTCACTGAGAGAGTGCACAGCAGGAGCAGATGAACTGCTAGGGTGCCATCCAGCAGAATTTATCTGCAATGTTCCACACTCTGTAGAATGACAAAGGCCAGAGCCTTGCTGTGCCACGTGCCTGCCAGTGCAGGTCATGCTCAGCAGACAAAAGACAGAAAATGGCACAGACAGGCTGGTTCGGGTGCCAGGGGAGAACACCACCAGCCAAGGGAATTCTCTCATGATCACTTTGCTTGTAGGAGAAGGAGGGCATTGCTGAGGGTAAAACCCACCAGTAGATGGACAACTAGACAGTGCATATGCTTTCCAAGATGTGCACCTGACATTAACTGCCGGGTGAGCGTTTGCCTATACTCATATCTAAATGTTCTGTAATTTTATTTGATCAAATGAAACCAGATTGCTTCTCAACATTAATCATGCACTCCTTCCTACAGAAAAAGGGTTCTAATTTTTACTTTCAGATCTCACTTCAGACTAGAGAATATCAAACAAAATAAGCTTAGTGTTTTCCCTGTACCTCCATGTGTTTTGAAATGTACAAGAAGATTGTGATAAAATGTTGTAATAAAAATTCAGGTTTTGCAGTTCAAAATAGTGGCAAACCCAAGCATCAAGTGTGGAAATTTTTGGTGTGTACAAATAGTTGCAAACTGAGGGTCGAAGGGGAAACAGTTACACGATCTTAACCAAAGTGTGGATTGCAGCAGTGAATTAATATCAGATTATCTACCTTAAATGATCCTTATTTGGGTTTGTATGGTTTGAAGAATAACAAAATTATTAAGCTTATTAGGATAATATGGATAAATGTCCTCTGCTGCATTTTACTGTCTGCAACACAGTATTTGACTTCTGATCTCCCATATGTGTTACAGAGGGCAAATGTACAACTGGGAAAGAATATTAGCTCTCTGCTAAACACATTTGAAACCACCGTCCTTGAGATAATTGTTGAATGTTCTGGTTTATACAACCATAATTGTTCATGTGTAGTATAGCACTCTCATCTTTTTTTTTTTTTTAAGTAATATTGGATTCCAGTCTTACCTTGAGATGTCTGTTTTACAGCTGTATTTACTAATGACGAGAGGTGATTTATTACTTGCATGGGATATCAGCAGATTTTCTTTCAGGTACAAAAAATTCCTAAGTGAGCGATGATGCCAAGGTCAGGAGCTTGATTTGTTTTTCTTGTCACAGACTTCTGTCAAAACAAATGCATTGTTACAAATGAATAACTCAAACTGGAAATTAGTTCCCATTCAGATAGGTAATTATATTTTAACAGGGCAAAATCCCAACCCAAGCTGCCAGAGAACACTCAGCTGAAGCCAGCATGGACTGGAACAGCATGTGTGCTCACTGTAATTGTAAATGGGGCCACCTCGGTCATGCTGCCTCTTCAAACTTAAAAGAATTAAGACCAAAGCTGTCCAAATGTTAACTGAAACTCCTAATAATTAAGGGTTATTAGGGGCTGCTGGCTGGCCTTATTTTCTACTGCAGTGCACTTGTATTTGTGGATTCTATTTATACACAGAATTAAGAGCTCTGTTTGAACAGGTAATCCAATCTCTTCTGTGTAATTTAGCCAATGATTTTTTTTTTCCTGGCCCTTAATTTTGGCTGTGTTTCAGGATGTATGGTGCAACTACAGTCCTAAAAATAATCTCATTTAATGTACTTTGTCTGAAAGGATAAACCAGGCCACCTTACAAAAGCTGAGTAAAATTCTGATTTTTTTTTATTTATGGAGGAATCCCCAGAGGAGCTGAGGGGAACTTTTCTGTGCGCATCTTTCCCTCTAGTGGCTGCTCTTCTTGGGAAAAAGCAGCAACAGCAACACTTCAGCACTTCTGTGTTGAGTACAAAGTGATGGGCAGGATGGAGGAAAGGAGACAAGCAGACAAACTTTTAGGTACCAGAAAATTCAAATCTCGTGATGAGCCATATGAAGGCAAAGATACAGTAGCCTTGGATTTGACAATATTTTTGTGAAAAGATGCAATGGGTTCTTGAAATATTATAGTAATTGCGATCAGTTGTATATAAGACAAGCTTCTCCCAGTCTCTCACACTGATCCTTTTTGTTGGTCTGTCATATTCCTAGTGTTTGCAGGACTCATGGAGTTGGAAAATACATCAGTGACAGCCCATAAACCAGCTGTCTCTCTTGTATCCATTCCATACACTTTTCTCCTGTCTGCTACTTTCTCCCCTCTGTGCTTTTCAGCAGCATTAAACTCCAACCAAGTCACCGTGTTCATTGCTTACTGTTCAGCTGTTCCTTGGCTGGGATTAGTGTCTATCATACATCCCAGCACCCCTTCCCAAACTGATATCAAAGTGATGACTTAAAGCCTCAACCATTAGGAGAATGAGGTGGCTGAGACAGCACTGCAGAAACACAGATACCCCGTGGCAGAAAACGGGGCTGCAGGGGTACAACCAGCACATGGAATATTTCATTAAGACTTATTTCTTGTCTGCACGCAGCAGTGAGTGGTCACAGGCAATGAAGCCAGTGCACTGAATTGCATCTCTGGCCAGCTTTTCCAAGTGTTGAACCAGTGACTATGGTTAAACACCTCTAATGGAGTATGGAGACTGGAGAAAAAAAAAAAAACAACACACAAACAACCCCCCAAAACAAACAAACAAAAACCAATCAAACTGAAACAAATAAAATACCAAACAAACAAACAAAAAACAGCACACCACCACCACCAAAAAACCACAAACCAGAGAGGGAGGAAAAACATGCTGGAAACATTCATATCTCACACGGATGCCAAACTGACAGAGTTTTCCAGCCCTTCAGCTGAGATGTCTTTATTCCTCTTTGCTTACTCTCACCCCTTTACTTTCTTCCATTTTTGCTGGTTTTATTGCAGGGTTGCTCTCTCCAGCCAGACTCGTTTATTCTGGCTCGGAACAGAATGGTCCAGTCCTTGTAACCTGCAGTAGCTGGGAGATTCCCTTAACAGTTGTCGTTTACTGCTCTGACACTGTATGACAACAAAGGCTATTAAACACCTCCCCTTTTTCACTGCACATATTGGACATATGTGGTACCTGGCACAGAAAGCAACCCCAGGGTGCATCCCAGGGCACACTTCCATCAGAAATCAAAATCTGACAAGACAGTGATGACTATCAGATCTAGGGGGTTAACTTGTAACTGTGAGTTACCAGCAGTTAAAATCCTGAAATATTTCATTAAGGGCTTCTTCTGAGTAACTTACTTGTTTTTCAACCAGTTGAAGCCTGTAGCATTCCCAGAAGAATTTAGACAAACCTGTGGTTAAAAAATAAATCTTTACAATAATGGATTACTTACAAGGTCTTTGAACTTCTACTGGGACAATTCTTGCTGCAGTTATTTCTCTCTAGGTTTGAATGGGAAAATGATTAGTACTTATGTCTATTTTCAGCAAAAAAGCAAAATAGTAAATTCCATCAAACACTGACTACAGCTACTTTTTAATCATAAAATTTTACAAATTCCCCACCAGTGAGCTCATTAGTGTAAATGATAGAGCCTTATCTCAGGTTTAAAGTCAGCATTTTTCCTTAGCTACCAAGCAGCCTGTTTTCTTTTGTAACGTGGTAATGGAGGACTTTACTCCAGAGAGTGGGGAAAATATTCCTCTCTCTTCTTGCAGGGCAGTTGAGTAGGGCTGGTAAAAACCAAGCAGACCAAATGAGATTTCAGTGCTGTCGATATCCTTCTGGAAGCCTTTTCTAAAAGGAGCAGAGCCCTTGTAGAGGAGAGCAGTGCACATTGCACCACAAGCCTGTTGTGAGGGGTAGATGTCAAGGGATAACAGAGGAGGAAAACTGTTCCTAAAGAAAATAATAGGCTCTCTGTTCTACCCTCCAAAATCTTTGGGGCATACAAGCACTACATAACATACATGGTGGTGTCCCAGTATAGCGTCAGTGCTCCTCACCACACACTGGTACCTCACCAGACCTGGGACACTGCAGAGTTCTGCTGATAATAGACAGGGGTGGCTCACTTTCCAGGAGCATCTGCAGAGGTGCTGGTAAGAGGAATGGGGCTGAAAAGTTGCTTACTGGCAACTACAGATACAGGTGACACTTATAAATATTCAGTTGAAAACGATTACTTCAGATTACTTCAGTGGCAAAGAGTGGGGAATGGGAGGCCAAAACCCTGAGTACCAACCAAGTTCTCCTGACTTTTGGCTGAAAACTACTAGCCCAGTAACTGTAGGGTAAGCCTGTCAGCCACCATATGGACACTGTTCCATACTGGTTACTGAACTCTGCTTTTAATGTATAGTGATCTCTTGCCTTCATCACAGTGCATCAAAATAACGGTAATGAACACAGGCAAGGGCTGAAGCTGGATTGTTCAGAAGGCTCAGTGGTTTGGGTGAGCTGTTCGGGAGGAGGGGGGTGGGGGGGTGGGGTGTGTGACTTGTCATTATGTCCAGTGTTCATCTGCTGCTTTCCGAAATCATAATATAGCAAATTTCCATCTTCTGAGCACTCGTGGTATTTTAAGGCATTGTTTGTGGCTCTGAACAAGAGCCCATCCCCCAGTACTCATTCAGGCAAGATCCCATTTGGCTGTGGGCAGTGCTGGGGAGCCCAGCTCGTGTGTGCCCCCGCAGCTCTGGGGGTCCGAGCGGGTGCTGCTGTGCCGGCTCCCGGCGGGGCCAGAGGGCAGCAGTGGCTCTGCCCTGACCTCGGCAGCAGGGAAGCTCAGGGCAGCCTGCTCGAGTGACACGAGAGGGAAAATCCGAGAGCTGCGGACTGGAGAGCCTTTTCTGGTGAAATACGAGCAGTCTTCAGCACTGCAACAAACAAAATAACAAACAAGGGGAGGTGGACATGTAGATTTTGACAGTTTGATTTAATAAAGGCTGCAGGAATGTGGCTGTTTGTGCCATCAACTCAGCAAAGATTTCTGAAGGAAACCTTCTGTTCCTAGAGCCAAGTGCAATCTAGTTTAAAAAAAAAATCCTGGAAGTAAATTACCTTAAGTTGGGGAGGAGAGAATACATCTCATAGAAGACAAAATGTCTTCCATTGACTAATTGGAGCAACATTGCTTAAATATTAAGCTGAGAAACAAAAAGTCATCGTTAACTTGGCTGGGGCCAAGCAGTGCATTCCCTCCTCTCTATTCTAGATATCTGATTTTCCAGATGGCTGGGCCTGTGTTTCCCCTGCATGGGCACCTGCCCCCCCACAGCAGCATCCTTTGGTGCCCTGACTCTCTGTAAAGCTCCATCCAAAGCCTATCAGGCTCAGAGTCCTTTTTTTCTTTCATCATCTCTGAACCTTGAATTTTCCTCACCATTGGTGGACTCAGATGTTTTGTCATTTCTGGAGCTGCAATTGCACTACAAGATTAGGGCAGAAAAAGAATAAAGAGAACTGTTTCACATGAAGAGGACTTTTAGATTTCCATTTCTTTTCAGGTGCACAGAGCACAGGGAAGTGCCTGTATGCTGCAGTAAGCTCTGGGCTGTTACAAGGCTCAGGGGAGTAGAGCAGGGATTTTTTTATTTGCTCAGCAACACAAGGACCCCTTCTGTGGCACCAGTGTGAAGGGCGACTGGGATATGTAAGCAGATCTGCTCTTCCTCAAGGGCTAAATCTACTTGTTTTGGAAGCTGCCGATATATGGGAACTTCAGGGGAGACACTAATTGCATTTCATGTAGATGTGGCTGCTACTTGGGCCAAATTCTTATTTACACTGGAGTAAATTTTGCATGTATATTAAATACCAGAGAAGTGGAAAAAATTGTTAATGAAAATGGGTACCAATTCTTCATCAACACTGCCTCCACACGTACATTTCATCCCCTGAAACAAAAAAATCCAAGTTAAGCCTGTCACAAATATCATATTTTCTTATACATTCCTTCCTCTAACTATATCCACAAGCAGATTGTCCATCAGTGCTGCAGGCAGCTTGTGACAAACTGCTGTTTCAGTAATTACTGAAGGTCTGTATCACATTTGTGATGCTGTTCACCGGGGGGGGTTCAAACCTAGAAAGACAGGCATCATCATTTTTCTTCTGAAGCTGAGACCAAGACTGAGTCACCGGGCTGGCCACTGACTGGCTCAGCAGATCAGCAGTGGCACCAAACATATTGTATTTATTGAATATTATGAGGGGAACAATGAGCTGTAGGATGGTAACAGCAGTGATACAAAGGGAGCTGGACAGCACCGGATAAGGAATCCAGTCAGGTATTGGCCAGTCCCCAGGATGAGTATATTTATAACAAAGATCATTTGAGGGTCATAATCGGGACATAAAGGGAATCTGCTTTGTTTGCACATCATCACCACCATTGTTCAGCACATCTTTAGGGAACAAAAATGCTCATGTGTTTTCCAAGATTTTACAAAAAAGAACGTTTTTCTTTTGGCACATGGTGACTTCTTTATTCTTTTACCTTCTCAAGTAAACTGGGAGTTTTTCATTTAGGTTATGTAAAATATTTACCTACGGAGAAGCTTACCTGCATTCAATGACTCTGCACCACACCATTTTCTTACAGGGTCAGCAAAATCCTTAAAGGCTGGAGTGTAAAAATTGTGTTGCATTGCATTTGTTTGCCTTTCCTTTATCCACAGAAACTCACCTCACTTGCCTTCGTCCTTTTGCATAGTAGGTTTTATTTACAAATTGGCAGTAAAGTGCTGTAGTCTCTTTGACAGTTTGCAATTAATTGCACACAATCTGTTTAGGCTTCAAGATGCACCCTTCATAAATGATGATACATTCCAAAAGGCAGCCCAATTGGCTGCTTTGCATATTGCATATATTTTTCATATTTCTGAGACAGGACATAAGCAAAATCATTTTACTGTGGCACAAACACAGGAAAGATTATTTGAAGAAAGGCCAGAGGTTCTATATCTAATTCTTTCACTCACCTGCTGCAGACTGTGGGTAAGTCATCTAATATTTCTCTGCCTTTCTTTTGCATCTGCACAAGGTTGTTTATTCTTCTAGGAGCTGAAATTCAGTGAATGAAAGTGTAATTTATTAATATATTCCAATAAATGGTTGCAGTGCTTTAGCATTGCTTTGAAGTCAGTCAAGTATGAAAGAAATAGAGAATTGTAAGAAACAGCAGTTCAGTCCATCTGATATGCCTGCATTGAAATGCTTCTTGTGGAATAACCTCCTCCAAACTGATACAGGAGTATGTGCTAAATGGATCCCAGAGTCCTGAGAAACTTCTCCTTTCCCTTATCTTGTGTAAAGAGTGACATGAGTAACATGGCCCAAATCACTGAAAGCAACTTTTACAACATAAAGCATTTAAATATGCCAGTAAATATCTTATGTTGACATCATACCTATCACCATTCTAACAACAAGCTCCTACCTATTTTCATTTTTCTGTCTTTCCTCCCACCCTGCCTTCCCATCTTGAATTAATGGGCAACTCTCAGAAAAGCAACACACACTTTAATGATACGTGTAATACTATAATTGGATCAAACTACTTTGTTTCCCCAAAAAGCTATTCTTTATTTGCTGGCAGGCTGCTTGTTTGTGATCCTAACATTGTCAGTCACATCAGGAAAGCCTTCTTAGTCAGAAAATACATATCGTAGAGGAAGTGCTATTGATTCTGAATGGGGCTTTTTAGCAGTAATTATGTATAGCTTTTAGTAATTTTGAGAGTCACCCAAGCATCATTGATACAAACCATTTGCAATGACATGCAATGATGCCTGCACAGTATTTTTATAAGCAAAATAAAATAAGACATTTTGGTGGTAACATGTAAATTAGCCTTGAGGCTTGCAATGTAATGCTCATCAAGTGTGTAACATTTAATTACAAGACCACTGAGCATAAGAGAGGTCCCCTGAGCTTTTCATCCCTACAATAGAAAGATTCTCCCACTGAACTGACGATTTGAATCCTCTCATCAGATGTGGGGTGAATTCATTCATCTCTCAGGAGGCCAAACTGGCTGTTGCAGGTCTGATGTCTTTCAGGACCCTATTTAGTGAAGTACTTCATGTTACTGGTGCTTGAGGTACCTTGTTGAGTGCCATCTGCAGGGAACTGAGAACAGCAGGCACGAGGTACAATGTACCATCAGCCCGTAATCAGAGGGATTTGCACCTAAAGTAGAAGAGTTCAGTCTGGGCTGTTCTGATTTCTACCTTAATAAACAAAATTGTACTACACTTTAGGAGTTACTTAAAGTGCAATGTCTTCATACTGGTGGCTTCTGACATACCCAAATGTACAGCAGCACAGAACACTCCAGCAATTCTGTGTTCTGCACTGAATCAGTGCAGTTTGCATCCACTTGTGCATGGAAGCATGGATTAGATCTTTCATTTGGTCTAGTCCACACCACTAGCACAAACAAACTTGAAGTATTATTTGTCTCAGCCTTTACATCTAGATGCTTCTGAAAAGTTAGTGAATGCTTTGTTGGGGTCCAGGTTTCAAGCTGGGTGTCTGTTTTCTTCTTCTTGACCTCTGAAATTCTCAAGGTGGCTGGTGCGGCCAAAGAGTGATACAAGGGAGAAATACCCCAAGCCAGATTAAATACACAGACAGAAGTCCTCCAAGCCCATTCAGGCCTATATAACTGCCTGTCCTCTGCAGATAGCTTGCAATCCTTTCATTAGGACTGCTAATGGAGATGCCTGGGGGTCCACTGACAAAGCAGAGGACTAGCAAGTGCCTAAGAAGATGCACATTCTATCTTTGATGAGCCACTCCAAAAAAGTAAAGCAAAAAACACCCCAAAACCCAACAAACAAAAAACCCCCCTAACACAACAGAAAGATAAAGGACAAACTATGCAAATACTGTTATGAAAGAGTAAACTATATAACAGTGTAGTCTTGCTCAAAATTTTAAGGGCTGCCTTATTTTTGAGTTTTGAATACCTCAAGTTGACAAAATTACTGTGTAAAGAGGAAGGAAAGTTTAAACGATTTGATTACCAAAAATAATTGAAATTAATTGAATTAACGTTTTGATTACAAGAATCAAACAGAAAGCCAAAATGGATGCAGTTTTCCAGTAAGCTTGAGAGAGGAAACATTACTCTGTAGGTTTGCTGGAGATAGGAGTTTCATTTTCAGTATCTGTCCAGTATAGCAAATGTATTTGATAACTTACTTCTTACAGACAACACTATATGTGTGTTGTCCCAGTTCTCTAGACACTGGAAAATGAGAAGCCTGAGGAACTGGTAAGGAATATGACTCGATCTGAGACAGCTACTGTTAATGTTCTGAAATGTCTTGGCTTCCCAATACTGAAGTGTTACCTTTTTATGCAAATGGTAGTCGCAAAAGCATGTTCAATCTATGCTATTTCATGATTGCTATTCTCACGTCCAATCAATAAATCCCCAGAGTCTCTCCCTGAAATGGCCATCCTTGCTCAGTCTCTCCAGTAGGAGGAGGTCTATTTAGCAGCAGGTTTTCAGCAAACCAAAATGTGGAATCAATACCCTGAGAATAATCTGCCCACTTGTCCTTATGAAATATTTGTATTTTTCCATGCAAGTTCTAACAGACCAAATGACTTTTCCAATATGTAAGGGTTTAGTGCCTTGTATGGAAATGCATCAACTACACAATTGCCAGCACATCTGAGAGGATCTCTCAAAGTCACTGATGAATTGACTGAAGAGCTTCAACAAGGCTTGAAAGTCAAGTCATACAGATTCAGAACACTCACCTGCATGGTTACAGGCTGCCTGTGAGCTACTACAATTTGTAGGTGAGGGGAGTCTGGACATGGAGCTTTCCTCTCCTGAGCTCGCTGCACACACCTTCTGCTACATGAGACAGAAATGGAACATCTCTCTGCTGTATTCATACCTTCCCTAGGGAAGGGACACTGATGTCAGCCTCCTTTCCCTCTTGTTTTTTCTGCTGTGTGGTTTGCAGCCCAGTGCAGTACAGGACTCCTCAGTCTGTGCCTTGGGCAGAGAGCAGGGGCAGGGGAGCACCTCTGCGTTCTGTCCCCCCGGTATCCCTCCCTGACTGTACCATGAGACCATTTTTTCCTTTGAAAAGTAAATACAATAACATTGTTATTAATAATTTTAATAATAATGGTGATTTAAGAGGACTTAAAAGTTATTCACAATTACTTTCTTTTCTTAACTCCTTTAATATAGTCACAAGAATACAGTAATCTCCACATGTCTCTTCTGATCTGGGATATATCTGTTCTCATCCTGGCTTTCAAAAGGGAAGCCCTCAGCAAAGGGTCTGAGGTTACATTTTCATTTTTAGCTTGGTTTCCTAAGGAAATGAGGGTCATGCCATTACTGTCTGTCTGTCTGTTCTTATTTTCCTGTCATATTGCCTTACAGGAACCTTTGAGCCTGTCAGTCAACCTCAGTCAGAGTAAAAAAAGCTGTGTAAGTCTCAAGAATGAACACATGCCTGTAAGACTTCACGGACACTTTTGGCTGGGGAGCAGAAGGACACACAAATTAGAGCTTTTGCTGAGCAAAGGTGAAGGAAACAAAGCCAGTGCCATCTGCTTGGCAGCAGCTGATGGACAAACCAAGACTGGCCACTCATCAGCATAAGGCTAAATTTGGACAAGCCAGAGCAGAAACAGCTTCTTGGCTGGCGAGGGTGCAACAGTGACCCAGCTGCTCCCATGAGTGGGAGGCTCCCAGGAGTGCAGGGCACCTCTCCCTCCCAGGCACATCACTAGTTCTGTGCTTCACAGCTGCAGTTACAAGTCTGTCATCAAATTCTGCCTTCCCTGCCAAAATAGTCAGGATGTTTTGCAGATTACACACAGCAATACCATTCCTGTTCTAGAGAGATTACAATTTAGGGATATAATTTATGTTCAGTCCTAAAACCTACTATTTGTCTAAACTTTTAGTTACAAACTGGAATATAACCTCACTGTATCAAAAACATCCAGCTGTTCTCAGATAGGGTCTGATCCTTTGGTGTAGCTGAAGTAAAGCTTTCCCTGAGTTTGGTGATGCAGGACCAAACTTGGGCTGTACTGCCTCCTATTTGATTAGCAGCACTTGATAGGGTAAGGTAAGTGCATTGGTTGTATATACTTCATATGCAGCAGTGTGTGGTAGGCAAAAGTAGTGAGATAAATCCCCACAAAAATAATTTTAAAAATGAACAACCAATGATAGCTAAGAAAAAAAAACACCATGAAAAAAGCTACAAAATCAATAGATTATGAAAGCTACTCTGAGGCTTCCACTGCTATCATCTCAAGGCTTTATTATCAAATATCAAAAAATCATTACTGCAATATCAAAACATTCATAATAACAATATAAAAACTCCACTCAATCTGTTCCTGCAGGGATCTGATCTAAAATCCACAAGAAAAGAATATAGTTGCTGTGAAAATGGCAGCTGGCCAGTTCAATCAGTCTGCCAGCCTGGTTCTATAATTGTACACTAGGCACTGCACCTTG